AGTTAAACAACAAATGAATCACGAACAGAAAAGATTGTTCTGTCCATTATCTGATTAAGAGAACTGAGGGGTTCTCTTCCATGGTTGGAATGACCTGTTATGGCCTAAATAGAGTTCAGTTTGTGACAGAGTTCCTGTCCTCTTGTCAGGCCAGTCCGAGGCCTGCATCGAGGCAGTAAATCTTGTTTCTTCACTCGAGGTGACCCCTACAGTGTTTAAGATTATTTCTTGTTGAAGTTTGCATTAATTTCTGAAGACCTTTCCATCTTTTTAAGTCAGTTTTTAATCATCTAACTCTGTGTCGAGTGAGTCCCAGTAAGCTCAAACCCTTAAAGAAAAAACAAGGCAAAAGCTCACAAATTATAACTTATATCATCCATATTGCCTTAACAGTTAAAACTTTATATCACAAAATATTATTATACATCACACACATGTCACATTACAAATGTAAGTATCAAAATCATCTACCGGCTCAATTTTGCTTGAGTGAATAAAAATACTGCTAAAAGAGTAAGGTGTGAAGGGAGCAGCTCTGATGTGTCACAAATATACCTTTGGGATTTTAAAAATTTAAACATGTGAGTTTTTGTCTTGTGAGTTTTTGTCGCTGCGTGTCATGTCTTCTGATAGAGCTTGTCTGTGTCGACCTTTGGCTTGTAAGCAAGTGGCTGAGACACCCTCCCAAATGCCCCCTATTCTCACGTTATTGTTGATGTTTTGTTTTTTGATTGAGTACAGCTTAAAGCCTCTTTTTTTACATGTCAAAGCCTCCTTTATAATTTTGAATTAATTAGGTGCATTGTTTCCWTTCAGTCAGAGGACAGGTGTGAGCAGGACCCACTCAGAGCTCAGACGAGTAGTTCAGCAACATTTGAAACATAAGAGGTGGGGGCTGGGAGTTACTGTATTAGTAAAAAATCAAAGGGTTTTGAAAACAGAAATTGTGACTTTTTTGTTTCTGTCTCAGAGAAWTTTAGAAATTATTTTTGACATGTTTAGTTTGTTTCAAGCATTTTAAGCCCCTTGTGTTTGTTTACTTGTTTGTACATGCAGACCTGAGTGTTTGTGTGTGTGTTCATGTGGCCCTACAGTTCAGAGGTCCACCAGGAGGAAGATAAGATTATCCCAGAGGAATGCAGAGCAGCTCATCCTGACACTCACTCCTACACACAGTTTGTAGTTTGAACACATTCTTTTGTTAAAGTCTTTAGTCAGACACAAACACACACGTGCAGTGAGGAAAGAAGCAGCCATCATGTCAAACAGACTGAACACTTCAATTAACACAGGATGTCATTTGGATCATTTCCTGTTTCAAATAATACACCACAATAATATTTTTTATTGTGTTTCACGTTTTTTTTTATATAAAACGAACGTTTAA